GAGCCACCGAGCCCGGTTTAGCAGTAATATTTTTAAAAATAAGAAGACAAAGGCCAACAAGTGTTCCCCTACTGCGCCCATACAGCAATACCCACTTACTGGGAGCAAAGACTTGATTAGCTCCGCGAAGTCATTGCAGTTTTTCTTCCAAGTCAGCAGAGGGCGCGCGGGCAGTGGAACCCCCGCTTCAGTCCGGAAGCTCCTCTTTCTTTCCTTTTCTCTCCCCTCCCTCGCGCCCTTCGCTCCGGAAGTTTTCTCCTGGCACAGGCTGCCGGCGTGACTTTGAGCACTTCTCGCTGCGGTGCCGGCGGCGGAGCTGAGCCGGAGCTGCTAGGCTTTCAGGCCTGCCCTACGCTCGCCATGAGGCTGCTGGGAGCCGCTGCTGTGGCTGTGGGGCGCAGGTCGCTGCCACGGGCCCCGGCTGCGCTGGGCTGGCAGGAGAAGCAGGTACGGGGCCCGACAAGGCGGAACTAGGGGCTGTCCCCAGACCTTTCGGTCCTTTCGCGCCTCCCTTCCCTGGGACTTCATGATTGACAGCTCCGAGGACTAGCGGTCAAGCGTCGGAACCCAAAAGCCCCTCGTCCCCGCACACCCGCTAGTTATTCCCGAACAGCCTGTCGGTGCCTGGGCGGACCTCCGATTTGTGGTCAAGAGGAGAAGTGACTTGAAGGAAGGTCCCACAGCCGGAAAGTTAGTGTGTCCGGGACTCGAACCCAAAACTTACGACTCACTGTCCAGTCCTCTTTCCCCTGCAGGATGTCGTTGGGCTGACCACCCTTTCTCAGCTGGCCCGGGTGACTTGATTTGGAGCTCAGCTCCCCAGTACTTTCCTTTGGTCTTGTTTCTTCCCAGGAGTTTGTAAATAGACGCCTTTGGGGCAGGGGTGTGCATAGTGGGGCGTGGTTAGGTAGGTGCTGAGCTTTTTCTGTCGTGCAGTCCTCGTTTGTTTCGCTCTCTTGTATCCCAGAGATCTAATCAACTAATTGCTGCCCACCCAGAGTCGGTTTGCTATTTTATCCACCGTTTCCAGGTTAATCTGCTTCCTTTTTCCCAGAAGTGGTTGATGTGCATAGTCCTATAGGGAGAGGTTTATATTTGTATGTTAACAAAACATAGGATTCTCCCCCACCCCCAGAATAAAGTTTTTAAAAAAGATACTTCTTGAACCTTTTGTGTAGTGGAAACTGGACAGTTTTTGGACTGTCTTGGATCAATTGACACCATTGCACAGAGCATGTAAGTTCTCAGACATCCTTGTTAGCTGGGAACTACAGTAAAGGAGAAAGAGGAAAAATAAAATTTAAGGTAAAACCTGTATTTTCTGTTTTGTTTTGTTTTGTTTTTGAGTTGGAGTCTCAGTCTGTCGCCCAGACTGGAGTGCAGTCCTGGTGAACTCCAGCAATCCTTCCGCCTCAGCCTTCTAAGGAGCTGGAACTGCAGGCGTGCGCTGCCATGCCCGGCTAATTTTGATTTATTATAGAGGTCTTGCCAAGTTGCCCAGGCGGGTCTCGAACTCGCGGACTCAGGCAATCCACTCACTTCAGCCTCCCAAGGCGTGGGATTACAGGCTGAGCCCCCAAGCCCGGCCAAAACCTGTATTTTCTTTCTTCCTTTTTAATTTTAATTTTTTTTAAAGTTAGAATCTCACTCTTGTTGTCCAGACTGGAGTGCAGTGGCACAGTCACGACCATTGCAGGCTCGACCTGCTGGGCTTAGGCAGTCCTTTCGACTCAGCTTTCCAAGTAGCTGGAGCTACAGACGCATGCCACCACACCCGGCTAATTTTTCATGATTTATTGTAGAGACAGGGTCTCACCAAGTTGCCCGGTCTGGTCTCAAACCCCTGGGCTCCGGCAGCCCTCTCGCCTCAGCCTCCCAAAGTCCTGGGATTATAGGCTGAGCCATTGTGCCTGGCCTCTTTTTTTTTTTTTTAAGTTGGGAATCTCACTCTGTCAGCCAGACAGTGGCACAATCATGGCTCACCTCGACCTCTCTGGCTCAGGTGATCCTTCTGCCACCTGCGTAACTGGGACTACAGTCGCACCACCATTCCTGGCTCCTTGATTATTATTATTTATTTATTTATTTTTTGTAGAGATGAGGTCTTGCTGTGTTGCCCAGGCTGGTCTTGAATTCCTGGGCTCAAGCAATCCTCCCACCTTGGCCTCCAAATGTGTGCCACTGCACTTGGCCTATAATTTAAAGTAGTTTTGGGAGCTGTCTTTCTGATTTTATTCACCCCAGTGTGTGTTTTTAAACTTGTAACATTTGGCAAAGGTATCTGTCCTGCTTTATTTTAATTCAATTTAATTGACTAAATAATTAACTTTAAGGAGTGCATCTCTCTCTTCTATCTTTTGTTGTGTCTCCTTTGGTTACAAGAGTTGCAGGTTTAAACATTTCCCCTGTGGCATTTCCAGGTTCTCTCATGCCCACTGAGATACCTTGAAAGAAAGATGTATACCATACCCATTTTAATTGTCTATTATTATCTCTTATAAAAAGTGCATTGAATTGAACTCTCATTTTTTTCAGGTTAACTGGAAGGCCTGCCGATGGTGTTCATCAGGGGTAATTCCTAATGAAAAAATACGAAATATTGGAATCTCAGCTCACATTGATTCTGGGAAAACCACACTGACAGAACGAGTCCTTTACTACACTGGCAGGATTGCAAAGATGCATGAGGTATGTGTTTATGGTTGATCCCAGATTAATTAAAGCTTGATATGAATTGTTTTGTAGTTATAATTCAATAAACTGCACAAAACCTGTAAGATGAAAACAGTGGTAATAGTGGATCTTAATCAAAGGCGCATGTACAAAAGGGACAGCTGGAGTTGGCTTGAAATGCTGTTCTGGGCAATGTCTCTAGATCCTGAGCAGAATGTCTCTTAAGAATGTTAAATCAATTTGGTGTACCCTTAAGCAGCTGTTAAATAGTTTTTACATAACTTTTGATATGGATAAATGTTTGTAATGTGAAGTGGAAAATGGGTTTCAAATGATACATAATGAATGTAATAGCTAAAATATATATATCAGAAAACGTTATTTTAAAAGCTCTTGAAACTCCTGACAATGTTACCATATCATTGGGTGAGTGAACTCTCCAGTCTAGAATATTTCTTCACTTGAAGGTCATCTTGTTAAATCATATGCTTTAAAAGTGAAATTCTTTCCAGCCAGACCTCAGATTCATATGGGCATATGGAGCAGAGCTGGGAAGGCTTTCTTCTCTGAACATCTGCTCATGGACACATTTAATGCTGGTGGGCAGGAACAGTGCAAAGAATGGTTCTGAGACCAGATGATTGGTCTGCCTTAGCAGTTGCTGAAGACAGTGGTGAAAAAAGGCTTGGCATACAATACAGGGCAAAACCTGTACACAGATGCTCCTTGACTTAGGATGGGGTTATGTACTGAAAAACTCATTGTAAATTGAAACTATCATTATGTCAAAAATGTGTTTAGTACACCTAACCTACTGAACATCATAGCTTAGCCTGGCCTACCTTAAACATGCTCAGACCACTTACATTAGCCTACAGTGAGCAAAATCATCTAATACAGGAGTCCCAACCTTTGGGCTGTGGACCAGTACTAGTCTGTGGCCTGTTAGGAACCAGACCACACAGCAAGAGGAAGCAACAGGTGAGCTCCACCTCCTGTCAGATCAGCAGAGGCATTAGATTCTCATATGAGCGCGAACCTTTTGTGAACTGTGTATGCAAGGGATCTAGGTTGTATGCTCCTTATGAGAATCTAATGCCTGATGATCCCCATCTGTCCCTTCCTCCTCCGGCTGTGGAAAAACTGCCTTCCACAAAACTGGTCCCTGATACCAAAAAGGTGAGGGTCCATTGGTCTAACACAAAGCTTATTTTATAATAAATTGTTGAATATCTCACGTAATGTATTGAATATGGAAAGTGGAAAACAGAATGATTGTATGAGTATTCAAAATAGGGTTTCTACAAAGTACACATCACTTCCACACTATTGTTAAGCTGAAAAGTTGTTAAATGGAACCATTGTAAGTGGGGACCATCTGTAATCACTTATCTACGTTATGAGATGATATGGTTTGGTAGTTAGGCTTATCTGTAAGTTGCATAAGGTAATGATCTTTAAATATAGTTATCTATATTTTACAATGACAGACTAACTTCTTGGAATGCAGGGACAGAGAAATCTGAATTGCTGTGCTTGTGTTTAGGTGAAAGGTAAAGATGGAGTTGGTGCTGTCATGGATTCCATGGAACTGGAGAGACAAAGAGGAATCACTATTCAGTCAGCAGCCACTTATACCATGTGGAAAGATGTCAATATCAACATTATAGATACTCCTGGTGAGCTGGGTTCTTGGTTTTATTGCAGCTTCTTTTGGCAAAAGTGCATACATTTAATTATTTCTTTTACTATGACCCATTTAATTTTTGAGTATCAAATACTCAAAAGTGTAACATTGAATTCCTATTAAAGAAGACTCACTTGGGACCTAGAGCATTTCATCCTTAAGTGGTTTCCTTGAAAAATAGAGCAAATCGTGAGTAGGAAGGTTCTTGTCTTTTATATATTCCAGCTGATTCCAAAGGTGCCCATGCCCAAGTGTCTTCCTGAAGGATCTTGTTGGGCCCTATGGTATTGGTGAGCTTGGGAATCTACATTTAATCTGAAGGTTTTTGAAATAAGCAGCGCTATAAAAACTTCTAATAGTGCATATATTAAGAATTTAGACTGTTCTTTAAGACGCTTCTACTTCTTTGTCTCGTTTAGGGCATGTGGATTTCACCATAGAAGTTGAAAGGGCCCTGAGAGTGCTGGATGGTGCAGTCCTCGTTCTCTGTGCTGTTGGAGGGGTCCAGTGCCAGACTATGACCGTCAACCGTCAGATGAAGCGCTACAACGTGCCGTTTCTAACTTTTATTAACAAATTGGACCGAGTGGGTTCCAACCCAGCCAGGGCCCTGCAGCAAATGAGGTAATGAGCCTTAGAAAGAACAGAGGGTTTGACCTGGACAGCAAACCTTATGTCCAGAAATACAATTCATTCAGTGTCATTAAACTCTGTACTCTGGTTTTTTTTTTTTGAGTTGGAGTCTTACTCCATTGCCCAGGTTGGAGTGCAGTAGCACACTTGTGGGTACCTTAGCATTGACCTCCTATTCTTAAGCGATCCTTCTTCCTCAGCCTTCCAAGTAGCTGGAACTGCAGGTGTGCGCTACCATGCCCAGCTAATTTTTTTGATTTATTGTAGAGATGAGGTCTCGCCACATTGCCCAGGCTGTTCTCAGTTGAACCCATGGTCTCAGGCAGTCCGCTCACCTCGGCCTCCCAAAGTGCTGGGATTACGAGCTTGAGCCACTGCACCCAGCCCAATTTTTTCTGTTTTAAAAATGTATTTATTTACTTTTGAGTTGGAATCTCACTCTGTCACCCAGGCTGGAGCGCAGTGGTACGCTCACAGCTACCACAGCCTCAACCTGCTGGGCTCAGGTTATCCTTCTACCTCAGTCTTTCAAGTAGCTGGGATTACAGGCACATGCCACCATGCCTAGCTATTTTTCTGATTCATTGTAGAGGCAAGGTCTTATTGTGTTGCCCAAGCTGATCTTGAACTCTGGGATCACGTAGCCCTCTCGCCTTGGCCTCCCAAAGTGCTGGTATTACAGACATGAGCCACTGCACCCAGCTTGTTTTAAAATTTATGTACATGAGTGACTTAGTAAATGGAACACTGAGTTTATTAGTTTGGCTTATGGTAAGATTTCATCAATGACCTTTTCTTTAAAGTGAGGACAATATGACTTAAGTTCTAGGGAGGTTGAAGATGAATTCCAAAAACAGTCTGCCAATTTCTATTGTTTCGCTAAAACGAGAGAAGTTATAATCTAGAATAGATTCTGAAAATACCTTGTGCTTTATTTAGACAAACCTAAAGGATCTTCTTCAGTTTTAACCTTTGGTTGAAGGATTTTAATTAATGCCCTTAAGTAGTATACCATAGAGATGAAATTCCCTTTCTTTCAGATGGTAACATGTTTTCTAGGACATCAGTAACACTTGCTGTACCAGGTCAAACCCAGTGGTATGTGTAGTGTTTTACATTTTGCCCAGTACTATGTATTTCACAAAGCCTTTACAAAGAGTCAGCATTTCCCTTTTCACCTTTTATAGATGTACAAAGGTAGCTGTAGAGTACTCAAGTTGTAGGTACTCAGGTTTCATATGACAGCTGATGGATATAGGTGTAAAGTTTATATGGGAGTGGATAGGCTAAGAGTGATGTGTCTGATAACAAAAATTGTGATGGAAGCGATGTATTTGAGCATATGAAAGTGAAATTTTTCTTTTTGGAGTGTTTGTAATAATGGTAGAACTAAACGTTTTTACTTTTTGTCCTTGTTTTACTTGTGCTTGGCAATAGATGGAATCTTTTCATGAAATCTTTTTCTGAATTCCAAGAAAATTTTCTTTTAGTATTTATTTGGTTCTTTTTGTTCTTCCTTTTCTGCATTCTCATTGATCTGTCTTCTCATTTTTTGACTCCCATTACACAGATTTTACAACTTCCGAGCCTGACCTCCATGTCTTAACTTATCCGTCATACTTCTCATGCTCTCTATCTTGTCTTCACTTTGCACTAGGATATGAGAGAATTCTTGAGGTTACGCTTCCAGCTCACTAATTTGATATTCACTTGTGCCGCTTCTGTTATTTAGATCTCTATCTATAGTTGTAGAGAGCATATTTCTTCTCCCGTGGGAATTCCTACCAGAAAGTGCAGTTTCTGTCCAGTGTTTAAGCCTGGTTGGGGGTGCAGGATGATGATGAGTGTTTTACTATAACACCCCCTCTAGTGAGAGTCTTCTTGTTAGAAGAACTCCCTCTTTGGATAGCTGTACTCAGCTTGGATAGAGTTGGTTGATCTAAGACTGAGAGGTGGGCCCGGCTGTTCTACTGTTCCTTAATTTCCTGGCCAGCCACCTGTGAAGTGTACTTTCCCTTTCTGCTTCTGGTCCAGTGTACTCTGGGGTTCTGATAGCTGACTACTTATTTTGGAGTTCTTTTTGCTGCCTAAATGGGCTTGTGGCTTTTTGAGCTCCTTGAGTTTGGTTGTCAGTTTGTTCCCAGCTACTTTATATCTTCTGTTCTGACCTGCAGCTAACACCCTTTTCAGTTCTATCAAGTCTGCCATTGATTTATTTTTGTATTCATTTTGTCATTTCAAAGAGATCTGGGGAGAAGAGAAGAGGTAAACAACTATATTTTTATTTTCCAGGTCTAAACTAAATCATAATGCAGCATTTATGCAGATACCCATTGGTTTGGAGGGTAATTTTAAAGGTATTATAGATCTTATCGAGGAACGAGCCATCTATTTTGATGGAGACTTGGGGTAAGTGTTAAAAATACGCTATTAAAATTTTATATTTTAAAAAGCATTAAAGAGAAACAAAGGATACGGGGATTAAACAGGGTATGTATCTTTTTGAAATGTGATAGGAATAATATTCTCTAAGATGCTTTTGTTTTAGTACCTTTAATCCTAGTTGCTTCTCATTTTGCTTAGTATTTATTCTGAGAGAGGGTATGCTACTTTTTTGGGTAATATACTCATGTCGCATTATGGCATGCATGGTGTGGTTATGTGGACTAGTCGTGCATTTATCTCTTTTTCCACTTGTTCATTCATTCATTCTGTAGGCTTTTATAGAGCAGCTACTAGGTCCTGAGTATTGTGATAAAAAATAGGAAGAAAATAGGGATCATAAATGTCTGCTCTAGCTACTTCAGGGATTATATATATAAAAAGGTTAATATGTAAAAATGATTAAAATTGTATACATGTGGTTTGGAAAATGCAAGAAACAAATTGGTAACTTTTTTTGAGTTGGAGTCTCACTCTGTTGCCCAGACTGGAGTGCCGTGGCACGCTCACGTCCACCGCAGCCTCAAACTACTGGGCACTGGTGATTCTTCCACCTCAACCTTCCAAGTAACTGGAACTACAGGCATGCACCACTATGCTCAGCTAATTTTTTAATTTATTGTAGATTCGAGATTTCACCAAGTTGCCAGGCTGGTCTGGAACCCCTGGGCTCAGGCAATCCTCTCACCTCCCAAAGTGCTGGGATTATAGGGTTGAGCCACCGCGCCCGGCCAAACTTTTTGGCATGGTATTTGGTCAGTCAATTAACTTTTGAATGACCTTTGCATACGAAGTACTGTAACTGTGCAGGGTTCATAAAAAAATCACCTGGAGAGCTTGTTAAAACATATATTCCTTTGTCCACCTCACCTTTAGATATTCTAATTCATTAGATCTAGGGCGGGACCTGTAATTTGCATTTCTGGAAAATTCCCAGCTTATGCTGTTGTTGTAGGTCTGCAGACTACTCTCTGACACTGATCTAGACATTGCAGGGAGTCATGCATGATGCTTTGTCCTGAACTGCTTCTGGTCCAGTGTACTCTGGGGTTCTGATGGCTGTAGCCTGGTGGTTTCTCCAAAGGTGCTTCCTGAGGCGTTTCCTTTCTCTACTATGGAATTGGGATACAGGTCTGGCAGGCAGATAAATGACACCTGTATATCAGGGAACTGTAGAATTATCAGCCATCTGGTAGGCAGGAATGGAGCTATCCAGCAGATGAGAAGTTTCTTTCACTTTTTGTATGACAACTGAGCAATGACAACAGAGTTAATCTACTTAGAATGCAAGGCTCAATAAGGCAGGGTTTTTTTTTTCTACTATATTCACTGCTATGTCTCAGCCTCTAGAACTACCATAATAGGGACTTAAAAATATTTATAAGTGAGTAAATTAATCTACTGTTCCATAATTACTAGAGCATATTTCTGTTGTCTAAAATTAGAGACTCTTAGACTTTGTTGTACGTCAGAATCATGAATGGAGCTTAATGTCCATGCTTCCTTTTCCTAATGTTGGATCACTGGGTATGTAGATTGAAACACAGATGGTTCCGACACATGAAAGACTGAGAACCAGGGAGCTTGCCAAGAAGGATGCGAGCTGGACTCTGGGATTTTCTTCTTTTATCTTTTTAATTCAGGGATGTGTTTTCTGCAAAGATTTTTTTTAAATATTGATTTCCATTTTTAAAGAAATACCCTGAAAACTTTCAGACAGATGTTTTAAAATATGAAATATATCTGTTTCTCAGTTGTGTATTTTTTGGTGACTCTTACCTGTTCAGCCTCCAGTGGAAAGGAGAACTGGTGCCAGGGTTGAAGAATCTGTCATATTCATATTTAGTCATCCTTTTTTTAAACTACAAATTGGGGTTTCTGTGCTATGAATTGTATGATTGGGATTATTATTAATGGAAATAATAGGGTAAGGTCTCTAATCCTGCTTATTAGAGACTGTGACATTCTGATTAATAAGATTATAGTCAATAGAATTTTCAAGAGCTCAAATAGGCCTCAAGACAAGGTTGGTTTTGAATCTTAGCTCTTCTGTTTACTAGTAGTACTACCTTGGGTGCATTACTTTGTCTATTTAAGTTTCCTGCCCTGAAAATGCAGATAAAGGAATGTACTATGCATGATGTGATGATCATGCAAATACCTGGTCAGTTATTTCATTTACTGCTCACTGCATTGTAAGTATTCAATAAGTGGATGCTCTTATTTGTATGCTTGCCAATTGAAAAATAGAATACAGTAAAAATAATCCTGTAACTACACTGGAAAGAGTTTTAAATGGTTTAGTCGACACTTTGTCAAGTTATTGTTTTGAACTAATATTTCACTGTATACAGAATAAGGATAAACTAATTTGTACTAAATTGATAAGAATTTTGTATTACATCTTCTATCATTATCTTCGGTAAAACTTAGTATGCAGAAAAATAGAATCTGATAAAACTGGGTTTTTTTCCTCATTATAGTGGGCTGTTTTGAATGTTAGCTCTTTCATTTACAAGTAGTACAACCTTGAGCAAGTTACTTTGCCTGCTCAAGTATTTTTGCCCACTATTCTGTTTGCATTTTAAAGATCTACATTAGTCTTATATGCCATTTGAATAAAAATATATCAGAGCTCTTTTTTTTTGAGTTGGAGTCTCACTCTGTTGCCCAAGCTGGAGTGCTGTGGCACACTCACAGCCACCCCAGCACCGACCTGCTAGGCTCTGGCAATTCTTTCACCTCAGCCTCTAAGTAGCTGGAACTAAGGCACGTGCTACCACACCCAGCTGATTTTATTTATTGTAGCAATGAGGTCTCGCCAAGTTGCCCAGGCTGGTCATGAACCCTCAGGCTCAGGCAATCCACTCGCCTCAGCCTCCCAAAGTACTGGGATTGCAGGCTGAGCCACCGAGCCTGGCCCAGAGCTCTTTCTTACACAAAAAAAAGTATAGCCCTTAGTCATATCTTTTTCATTGGTGCCTTATATATCTAATTGAATATCCTTAAAGTACCAAAATAAAGCATTTTTTTTTTTCAGTCAGATTGTTCAATATGGGGAGATTCCAGCTGAATTGCGGGCAGCAGCAGCTGACCACCGTCAGGAGCTCATTGAATGTGTTGCAAATTCAGATGAACTGCTTGGTGAGATGTTTCTGGAAGAAAAAATACCCTCAATTTCTGACTTAAAGGCAAGTGCTCTCAAAATATGTCTTCTATTAATAAGAGAAAGTTATTTTTGTGTGTGGGTGGATGTGATGTGATGCTTTTATGCATGAACTTTCAATAAAATCTGAGCAAATGTATGTACCATAATTGGTTTCCATGGACTGGTTGTGGCATATTACTTTTTTTTTTTTTTTGAGTTGGAGTCTCACTCTTTTGCCCAGCCTGGAGTGCAGTGGCACACTCATGGCCACCCCACCGTCGACCTGCTAGGTTCCAGTGATCCTTCTGCCTCAGCCTTCCAAGTAGCCAGAACTACAGGTGTGTACTACCACGCCTGGCTAATTTTTGACTTATTATAGAGATGAGGTCTCATCAAATTGTCCGGGCTGGTCTCGAACCCACAGGTTCAGGCTCTCCACTCATCTCGGCCTCCCAAAGCACTGAGATTACAGGCTGAGCCTGGCCTATATTTTTAAAGTTAATGAATTCTATAACATTTTAAAATGAGAAAGGAGTCATAGTTTGTTCTAGAAAAAAATAATACAGTCAACCTCTTGAGCACATCTATAATAAGGAAGGATAAATATAGAAAAGTTAAGTAATAAGGAAGATTAAGAGAAGAGGCTGTTAAATATTTGCTGACTAACTGTTGGCACTTACACTGTTGTGATGTTTGGAAACATTACATAAAGCCTTATAGATTCCTTCACTTGATTATTCAACTCTTAAAAAGTAAAGAGATGATCCCTGCCTCGGACTGATACTTGACTTTTAATAGACGTTTCTCTGAAGAAGATGTACAGATGGCCAATAAATACACAAAAAGATGCTCAACATCATTAATCATTAGGGAAATGCAAATCAAAACCATAGTGAGATACCACTTCACACCCATTAGGATGGCTATTATTTAAAAAAAACCTCAGAAAATAGCAAGTGCTGAAGAATATGTGAAGAAATTAGAATACTTGTACATTGCTGGTGGAAATGTAAAAATGGTGTAGCCACAGTATGGGGGTTCCTCAAAACATTAAGCTTCGAATTATCGTATGATCCAGCAGTTTTCTTTGTGGATATACCCAAAGGAAAAAAGGGTCTCAGTTGTACACCACTGTTCATTGCAGTACTATTCACAATAGCCAAAAGGTAGAAATAACTCAAATGTTCATCAGTGGACGAATGTATAAACAAAATGTGGTAAATACTCCTAGATAAAATGGAAGATTATTCAGCCTTAAAAAAGAATGAAAGTCGGATACATGCAGCAACATGAGTTAACCTTGAAAGACATTCTAAGTGAAGTAAGCCAGACACAAAAGGGCAATGATTCTACTCAAATTCATAGAGACAGAAAGTAGCATAGTGATTACTAGAGGTTATGAGGAAGGCTTAATGGGAAATTATTATTTAATGGGTGTGGAGTTTCAGTTTGGGATGACGAAAAGTTCAGGAGATCCATACATGGATAGTGGTAATGGTTGCATAACATTGTGTGTGTTCTTAATGCCACTGAACTGTACACTTAAAAATGGTAAATTTTATCTTACCACAGTTTTAAAAAGGACTGATATTCATTGTCCCCAAACCACTTGTTGCACTTAGCGGAGATCAGATAAATAATTATTGTGTGTAAGACATAGTACTCATGGAATTTACAGTAAATTGGATACACAGGGAAAGAACCCTGTTGGAGCTGAAAATGCATACTTTTTTTTTTTACTGTATAAACTAGGACTGTATCTTGTGACTTGAGTCCTTTAGCATTCTCAAAAGCCTTAGCACCTCAACTCCTTGATGGGTAGAGAACACCATGTAGAAAGGTATAGGTCTGCCGCTAGATAAAGTCAGGCATTGTATCCTGGGAAGTGCATCAGAGGGGCTTTTTTCCTACTAAAGAGAATGTGTCAGCTCTTCAAGACCATTCCTAGGTGCGTTGATTCACTAGGAGAACTCACAGGATCAGCACGTAGTCATATGATTTAGTATAGTGAAAGAATACCCAGCAAAATCAGTCAAGGGAAAAGGTACATAAGGTGAAGTCCAGGGGAAACCATATTTAAGTTTCTAGGAGTTCTCTCCCAGAGAAGTCACAAAGGACTGCTTTGTTCCTCCACAGAGCAGTTGTGACAGCACCATGAAATGCCATCTTACCAGAGAAGCTCATTAGAAACTCAGTGCCTAGGGTTATAGTTGAGGTTTGATCACACAGACATCCACTGCTTAGCATGTACCCAAATTCCAGACTCCCAGAAGGAAAGCCAGTTCTTAGCATACACCACGTTATATAAACAGTATGGGCACAGTGAGACAGTCTTACCAGTTCTGGGAGTAATGGGGACCTCCCAGAGTTCCAAGTTCCCAGACACTGCCAAAGGCCAACCTTGCAAGTAGATCTTTCTAAGAAATGCTTCAGTCCTGCTGTATTCACTCCTCTCTGCACCGGGTACATGGCTGTACTTTAGTTTGTATATTATGATTGAATACATTATTAGGAACAGGAAAGGCAGCAGCTTTTAAGTGCAAAAGTGATTCTTAGGAAAACAAGGGAAATTTTGGAAAACTAAAGTTTTTGTCAGGATGGTGTAAGGTCTAGTTTTAATTTCTCCTTTTTTCTACTTATCTACCACCCTCATGTGTTCTGTGTTCTATGGATGTGTGGTAAAATTACTATATGGCTCTATTCCTACTTGCATGTTAGGGAGAATTGGGAAGTAAAAAATGTGACCAGGTAGCTTAAGTGGTTAGTGACCTAGCCAGTTCTGGTTCTTGTAACAGCAAAAGCATGTTTTTAAGATAGTTTTAAATGGTGATTGCTTGCTTCCCATCAATCTTTTTCCCTTAATACCTTGTATCATGCTCAGCTGTTACCTTTTTTTAATTGTGGTGATGCTAGAAATCATGGCTATAAATGTTTTCTGTTTTTTTATTGAGAACTGAGAAATAATTATATGCTGCCTCCATATTTTCACAGTGACTATTGTGGCCACAGCACTGGTGTTGGCCTCTTCCAGCTGCTGGGACTACAGCCCCACTGTGAACTCTAAGGTCTGCTCGGCCATAGGACACATTGACTGCACTTTTGCTCAGGGCTGGTGCAGGACCTATAGGTCGTTATTTTAGAGTCTGCTACTCGCTTGACCCTTAATTTATGAGTAATTTCTGCTGTTTGGTTTCTTGTGTGTATGTTCTTTAAAAAAAAAAAAGAAAAAATGCTAATTAAATATTTTTAGATAGAGAATACATTCATATGATTGAAACATTTAAAAGGTATACATAAGTATACAGTAAAAATTCTTCTACTTTCTTCTCCCATCTGCCCAGTTGTCTGGCCCCTTCCTGAAAGAGGTTACCAGTTAATAGCTTCTGGTTTAACTTTCCAGAGATTTTTTTGTTTTTGCACATGTACCTTTTTTCTCTGTTTTGCACAGCTGATAGCATACTGTCCTTACTGTTTTATGAGTATGTCTATTATCTGTGTAGATAATTTTTTGTGCTTTCAAGAGTGTTAAAAGGAGTTGTACCTTAAATCGATCCTAATCTTAAAGAAGGAAGTGGTTTTTTTCTTTCTTCTTTTTTGGACCTTAACTTATTGGGAACCTGAGTTTAGTTTCTACTACTGGAGCCAGCACTCCAAAGAGTATCAGTTCATTGTTTTCATTTGTTGGTTTGTAATTGACTTGAAGCACAAAATGTATCTTTAACATTAACTGTCTCTATTTTTTTCTTTTGTAGCTTGCAATCCGAAGAGCTACACTGAATAGATCATTTACTCCTGTTTTTTTGGGAAGTGCCTTGAAGAACAAAGGAGTTCAGCCTCTTTTAGATGCTGTTTTAGAATACCTCCCAAATCCATCTGAGATCCAGAATTATGCTATTCTCAATAAGGAAGAGTAAGTCTTGGAAATTGATCTTAGTTTATGCAGAAATACTTTAACACTTAATGCACTGTGAAGAATAGTTCTTCTAGTTATGTTTGTGATTTTTTTCATAATTTACAAAATTTCATTGCTGTTTTTATTTGGGTAACAATTTTGATATAGAGAACTTATTTATTGTACCAATTCCCTTACCATATTCTGTTTGTGGGATAGAAGTGTGATTTGTTTTACTATCTCTCAAGGTTTATGATCATTTGAAAATTTTTTCATTTGGGACCAACTGTTCTTAGTCATATTACTTTAAAAAAAAAAACTTTAAGAAACAAACTTTAAAAAAAATACTCATTATTTTTCTTTTATTTCCCTACCACACCATTTCTACATGTTTTAATCTACTTTGGTCTTGTCACTCTGTAGTAACTAAGCTCCAAGAACTTATTCTAAACTCTAGGAACTCTTTCAGAAAAATTTTTACTTATGTAGAAGGCCAGAAATGTTTAACACACATGTGCTTTTTCTCAGATAATACTGTTCAATGAAACAAATTGATATAAAAAAATTATGTCTCATAGATTTATATTTATTTTATCTTCAGTGACTCAAAAGAGAAAAGCAAAATCTTAATGAACTCCAGAAGAGACAGTTCTCACCCATTTGTAGGTCTGGCTTTTAAACTGGAGGTAAGTTGCTCTCTAATGTATTTAACAGCCGTTTGTAAAATTTTTTTCTTTTAGTCTTATATTACTATTACAAAATGGCTCTGTGATCCTTATGAAAGATTTAGAAAACAGAAATAGAACAGATAAAGAATTTCCAGAGCCTAACACTTTAGGTGATAGTTCTTTGTTACTACATGCATTTCCTTCTAGTTTCTTCTATTTGCAGTTTTAAAGTATAAATTTTTACAGTTGGCTTCTGTGTCCTTTATTTTTTTTTTTTGAAGTTGGAGTCTCACTCCGTCGCCCAGGCTGGAGTGCAGTGGTACACTCATGGCCACCCCAGCATTGACCCCCTCTGCCTCAGCTTTCTAAGTAGCTAGAACTACAGGTTCACACTACCACACCTAGCTAATTTTTTATTTATTGTAGAGGCGAGGTCTCAACCAAGTTGCCCAGGCTGGTCTTGAACCCTCGGGCTCAGGCAATCCATTTGCCTCAGCCTCCCAAATTGCTAGGATTATAGGCTGAGCCACTGAGCCCGGTCTTCTGTGTCCCTTTAACATCTTCAGTGCTTTACTTCCTTACTTGCTGGCACTACAAGATACTTCAGGCTTATCTCATATATTCCACATCCTAGCCCTAGAATCAGACATTTTCCAAGGAGCTCTGGCTTATTTTAATGGAAAATGGTTTAGAAACCAAGATTCAGGCAATGGATGCTCATTTTTTGGGGTGTTGCTTCTGTTCACAATATATATATAAATTTTTTTGAGTTGGAGTCTCACTCCGTCACCCAGACTGGAGTGCAGTGGCCGCTCCCGGCCACTGCAACCTTGACCTGCTGGGCTCTAGCAATCCTTCTGCCTCAGCCTTCCAAGTAGCTGGAACTACAGGCGCGTGCTACCACGCCCAGCTAATTTTTTGATTTATTGTAGAGATGAGGTCTCGCCAAGTTGCCCAGGCGGGTCTCAAATTCGTGTGCTCAGGCAATCTACTCACCTCAGTCTCCCAAAGCGTGGGATTACAGGCTGAACCACTGAACCTGGCTCACAGTATTTTTATGTGGGAAAAAATAGTGGATAAGTTTGAAGTGTTAGTGGTTATTTCTAGGGTGGGGTTATATTTTGGGGACATTTTCCTACTTAAAAAAAATGTTTACAGTGTACTTATCTCTAAAATGAGAAAAAATTAAATTAAAAAGTAGAAATAACACTACAGTAAACATTTTTATGCATAAAGCTTTTAAAAATACATATTTAACAATATTTTCTTATGATTTTCAGAATAGTGATTATTGGGTTAAAGGCATAAAATGTTTTCACATTAAATGGTTTATATTGCCAGATTGCTTTCATACTCTTAAACTTTATGTATTGGATTATTTCAATGAATATCATCGTTGGGTATTATTTAAAAATCATTACTGATTTAATACATGAAAAATTGAAATGTTTAATCTTGCCTTAATTCCTTATGCCAGAGAACATTTTCCCATATATTTTTTATGAAGTTGTATTTCCTCTTTTGTGTAATTATCCTTTTTTTGGTCCTTTTTAAAATTAGGGTTGAAGTGTTTTTACTTATTTGTTTATACCAGCTTTTTTCTAATAAAGTTGATTTTTAAAAAACAGTCAGCACTTTAAAATTTATGTAGTCAAATATATCTGTCTTTTTCAGTCATTCTTTCATTTTTAACTTTAGAAACCCTCTTTGTATATATTTTGTGAATATTTTCTTTTGTTCTACTTTTTTATGTTACTTTTTCCATCATTAATTCAACTGGAATTTATTTTTATGTATACTGTAAGGTAGGATCTAAATATGTCTCTGCCTCCAAATAGAAAATCAGTTGTCTTGTTGCTAGTTTGTGAACAGTCCTATTTTTACTTTTCTGTTGATTTGTCACATTTCATTTATTGTCTGTTGACAAATGTATTTTATACTTTAGATATTTATACTATACTTTATGGGCTATTCAGTCTAATTTATGCTGGTTCTGTACTTCTTAAGTTTCAAGCATTTACTTTGTTTTTATATCAGACTTAGTTTCTTCTCATTACCATAGTTTTTTTAAAAATTTACATTTTTATTCATTTATTCCTCTGAATGAATTTTTAAATCACCAATCAAATATTTAAAATTCCCTGTTGGGCCTGGATGCCATGGCTCATGCCTATAATTCTAGCCCTTTGGGAGGCTGAGATGAGGATTGCTTGAGGCCAGGAGTCCACAGTTACAGTGAGCAATGAGTGTGCCACTGCACTCCAGCCTGGGCAGGATGACAGAGCAAGACCCCATCGCTCTTTTTTTTTTTTTTTTTTTTGAGTTGGAGTTTCACTCTGTTGCCCAGACTGGAGTGTAGTGACCTGCTGGGCTCTGGCAATCCTTCTGCCTCAGCCTTCCAAGTAGCCATAACTACAGGCGCCCAGCTAATTTTTGATTTATTGTAGAGACGAGATCTTGCCAAGTTGCCCGGTTGGGTCTCGAACCCACAGACTCAGACAATCCACTCGCCTTGGCCTCGCAAAGTACTGGGATTACAGGCTGAGCCACTGGGCCCGATCAAGACCTCATCTCTTAAAGAAAAAATTCACTGGGGTTTTGATTGCTATTGTGTTATACCTATAAATTCTGCCAGTTGGCAACTTATTTATTTTTTCATGTTTACAAACACTTTATTCAGATCATTGTAGTGGGCAAGATCCCAACTAAATGCCCAAGTGAGGTATTCCTGGCAACTTATAATGTATATTAATTGGTCAGTGTTAGTATATTCAGTCTCTTTACAGAACTCTTATCTAAGTAGTTTTCCATTCAATTGTCAAAGGTTGTTTTAGATTATCGTTTGCTCCTACCTACCATTTCTAATGTTATTTTTGTTGTCTTTTCAGTCATAGTACCTTATTTTTGTTTCATATCTTACTGTATTAAACTGAACCTTTGAAATAATATTAGAAGGCAAAAAGATACTTCCTTATGTAAACAGTTACACTTGTTTTCCTAATATTTTTTTTTCAGAGGAAGCAGAAGTATCTTGTATTGTGATACCAAAAAGATTGATGAACAACAAACCATTTAATTTATCTGTGTTCAAGTAGCTTATGACTATAAACTGAATTATGTTTGTAAGATGGACTGCTAAAATTGGGAAAGAATATTTGGAGGTAGTTGTGAAGTTTTCCTCTTAATTTTGATTCTTATATTTCTTTTTAATTCTTTTGCCCTTACCCAAACCTGACTTCAAGGCAGGTCGATTTGGACAGTTAACTTATGTCCGCAATTATCAGGGAGAGCTGAAGAAGGGTGACACCATCTATAACACTAGGACGGGAAAGAAAGTGCGGGTGCAGAGGCTGGTTCGCATGCATGCTGACATGATGGAGGCAAGTAAGAGTCGCCCTGGGGTCAGAATTTCTCTCGTGGGTGGAGTAGATCTGCCTTCCCAGTATCCTCAGCCTCTCTAGAAAGCCATTTCTGGTTTTTGTTTTCCTAGCCTCTTCCTTTTGTTTAGGTGTGTTAGAACTCTGAGCTAGCACTCTACCATCAGTTAAATTAGCAGATGTTAAGAACTCATTCCACTGGTGGAAGTTAGTTATAGTGACCAAGGTTAAGGAAAAGAGACATATTCCTAAGACTCAGAACACAAGATCTAGCACTTTCCTCACAAGCTATAACAGAGTATAAAAGGTACTTAGGACAGTGGAACTGTGGTTCTTAAAGGAAAGAGAGTAGTAAATTCACACATAACATCTACATTGTTTAGTAGATTTACTTTCTGAAATATGGTAGGCATGAAAGCAATAGAGCTTTTATTCCTGTTGATGGAACCTACTGCAGGACCATGTTGGTGCCAGAATCCTCCTGAAGACTTAAAACCTCTCAAGGTCTGATCTGGTAGATAAACTTTGACTTATGGCTTGAATTCTTGCATTGGCTCTGAATCTGCTGTAGCCTTCTATAGTCCTTATGGTTAGGCCTTGGCAGGAATACTGAGTGCATGAGATTGACCCCTACCTGCCCTTTCCAGTCCAACTCTGTATTCCTGGACGAATTGATTGTTCTAAGCAAAATATTAGGAATTTTTTGGTAGCTATAACTTTTGTCTCTTCTGGGAGAGGAATTAACAGTCTCTAAAGTGGACAGCATTGCTATTTTGTGAGATAGGCAGCAGGGGGCAAACTAGAGGACTCAGTGATTGTCACAGCTGTTTCAGGGGCCAGGCATTGGGAGATATGGACAGATGTGTAACCATGAAAGAAAAGCACCCTCTCTTACAGCACAGCTGTTGTGAATGAACTGTCATTGTAAAAGGACAAAAACTAGGAAGCTTAGAGGCACCAATGCTTTGTTCTAAGATTTCCTGTTTTCTTGACTGCTTGCATCTGTGCAAAATTAAAATTATTTTTAGTACAGTGGGCTTCATTCTTCTGCCTTTGTTTTCAAAACTTCCTTTCCAGTTTTCCCTGGTATGTCTCTGTGCTACACAATCTCATTGTGTAAGTGTAGGAGCACATAGAGTACATACTTTTTATTCTGTAGAAATGTCTTTAGAACTGTGAGACATTGGATTTTGTCAGTACTAGGATCAAGTAGTGATGCCATAGCTCTGAGTTTTTCATATAAAGTAAAAGCTTTTTTTTACTGAGAAGTGGTTTAAATAAAGACCCTGTTTAAGACATGTCTTGGTATAGTCAGTTGGTGTTGCATTAGTTCTAGTTAATTAAATCTCTATAAAATTCATGGTAAGAGATCATGTTTGTTTATGTATAGTTTGTTTATTGTGCAGTTTTTTTTTAGTTACCATGTCTTTATTCATATTAATTGCAAATATTGTTTTGTGTTATTTTTTTATGTAGGATGTTGAGGAAGTATATGCTGGAGACATCTGTGCATTGTTTGGCATTGACTGTGCTAGTGGAGACACATTCACAAACAGAGACAACAGTGGCCTTTCTATGGTAAGCCATTTAATTTCCAAGCTGTTTATCACTTAAATTACAAAAGTCTATGTTTTTATGTGGTACATTTAACTCTTTGCACTTGGGTGTGCCTTCAGATGGGACATCATAAATCTAGCAAACCACTCTGATGTCCCCTCTCAGGGGACATAAAGAGATTGCTTCTGATTATACAGGACAGACTTATGCAAGTGCAGATTTTTCAAAAATGTAGGTTTCCTTGAAGTTTTCCACTCAAATTACATGAAAAAGCAAATAAAGAGATGGAATATATACTAAGATATCAATTAGTTGAGAAGTGGTTTTCAAGAATCACAAGTATGTCCTTTCACATCATCTTCAAACAACATAGACAATAAATTACGTATTGTGAATATGGGAGGAAGGAAACGAGACTTCATTGTCTGCTCAAATAGAAAAACACCAGGTGGAAGACATCAAACAAATTATTTTTGTACAGCATATATCAATGAACTTGGAGTGGATGTTGGTGACTGTTTCACGTTACCACACATTAGATAAATATAAGAAACAAAATTTTGATTTTTTGTCGTAAATAAGTTCCTCGATGTCCAAGCTTCTATTATAAGCCAAATATCAATGAAATAATTAGTTCCAATGCTATAGTATTTAATATAAAGTGATTCATTTTTCACTATTTCATAAAAAAAGTATGGTCAAGTTGCTGGTAGGTGATCCGCGAGAAATGCTCACTCAGACTTTGAGGCAAATTGGCCTTGGTTAGAGTCTCACTTTTGCCCTCTACTATCTGCTGGCCCTTAGCCAAGTTATTTTATCTTCTTTCCAAGGCTTTAGTCACTTAATTTGTAAAACGGGTGTAATAATACCTGCCACTAAGAGTAGTAATTGATTAAATGAGGTATCATGGGAATAAGGAATTTGGTGCCCTTTCTCTGTTTCCCTTATCAGTGATCACAGTATATTTTGATTAAATAAAGTAATTTAATAGAAGATTGCTACCGCAAATGTAGCCACTAGACAATAAGAATTTCAGTGTCAGCATTCGGATTAATGATTGGGGTTTTGTTAAACAGGTAGACAAGTAGGTAATTTTATTTTGGGAAGGAGGAAATCATGTAAGTGGGTAGCTTTATTTATTAATGTTATATTAATATACTTATTTAATGCAAAACAAACTGAGATATATATTATATATCCTAAATACATTGGCTTAGTGTTTGTCCTTTGTTCTATTGTAAAGTAGCACATTAAAATGAACCCATCCCTGACTCATGCAAGACTGTTTTGAATTCTTTTTTTTTTTTTAATATCTTAGGAATCAATTCATATTCCTGATCCTGTCATTTCAATAGCAATGAAGCCGTCTAACAAGGTAGGAGATTTAGAGCTCAGTGTGTCACAATAAAAACTTGAGCTCTTTTTCATTTGTCTCCACAATACACGTGGTATCTTGTGATAACCAGCCGTTCTATGGTGTCTATTTCCTCTTTTGATATTGAGATCACTTTTTGAAATTTATCAATCTGTTCCTAATAATAACTCATTGGTATATTTGAAGAAACTGATGGTATTAAAATATTCATGAGGCCAAGCGTGGTGGTTCACGCCTGTAATCTCAGCACTTTTAGAGGTGGAGGCGAGAGGATTGCCTGAGCCCAGGGGTTTGAGACCAGTCTGGACAACTTGGCGAGACCTTGTCTCTACAACAAATAAAAAGATTAGCTGGGCGTGATGGCGCACACCTGTGGTTCCAACTACTTGGAGGCTGAGGCAGAAAGATCACCTGAGCCCAGCAGGTTGTGTGCCGGTGTACTCCAGCCTGGGCAACAGAGTGAGACTCGCTTGACTCAAAAAAAAAAAAATTACCAGACTGTATTTTGTAACTCTTTGCTATATCATTGACTTCACCATGGTAAGTGTACCTTCCTGTGTTCAGATCATAAATGACTGGAAAATGGGAAGTGGGCATTTGTCCCAAGTTGTAGTAAAATCAACTGTGAAGTCCTTTAGAATACTGGATACTTTAATTGCCTCATGATTTTAGTACAGCTGTAGATTTTGTTGTAGTAATAAAGTAAATGTGCGTTGGAAAGCCTGTAAATAAGACTGTTTTTCCTTCCTTTCTTTTTTTTTTGAGTTGGAGTTTCACTCCATTGCCCAGGCTAGAGTACAGTGGCACTCACAGCCACCCCAGCATCGACCTGCTAGGCTCTGGCGACCCTTCTGCCTCAGACTTCCAAGTAGCCGGAACTACAGGTGAACGCACTGCACCCAGCTAATTTATTTTATTTTATTTTATTGTAGAGACGAGGTCTCGCCAAGTTGCCCGAGCTGGTCTTGAACCCTCAGGCTCAGGCAATCCACTCGTCTCAGCCTCCCAAAGTGCTGGGATTACAGACTGAGCCACCGAGCCCAGTCTGTTTTTCTCACTTTCAAATATAGTTTTACTTGGTTTTTAAAAATAATTTTATAGTTTTATAATTGGATGCTAGTGCAGGGAAAAGGGAAAAGGCTAACTGACCTAGATAGTCTAACTTAGGAGTCAATCCGTTTTGCCATGCACCAACTCTGTGGCCTTGAACAAGTTACTTGACCTCTCTATACCTCATTTCCTCACCTATAAAAATGTGAATATTTTGTCTTGCAGCATTGTGGTTAGAATTTGAGATAACATGTAAAGTACATAGCACAGCTCCTGGTATTGTGGTAAATGCTAGATGTTAATATGGATGCTGCTAGGTGTGTTTGTTTTCTGTTACTGCTGTAGTAAATTACCACAAACTTAGTGATTTAAAACAACACAAATATATTCTTTCATATATCTGAATAAATTAATCAAGATGTTGGCAGGGCTGTACTCCTTTTTGGAGGCTCTAGGGGAGAATTTCTTTCTTTGCTTACTCTGATTATTGGCAGAATTAAGTTCTTTGTGGATGTAGGACTGGAGTTCCCCCCCTCCTTTTTTTTTTTTTTTGCTTTCATTTGAGGGCTGTTCCTAGCTTCTAGAGGTTACCCACCTTCCTTGGCTTGTGGCTACTTTTCCCCCTATTATCAGTACCAGCAATAGGTGGTTGAGTCCCTCTCCTGCTTTAGTTATCTCCTGCCTCTTCTTCTGTCATGGAATCTCTCTGCCCTACCCTTCTGCTTTCCTCTTTCATGTTTAAAATGACCATATGATTACGTTGGCCCCACACAGATGACACACATGACAATCTCCCCATCTCAAGTTCTGTAACCTTAATCACGTTGGAAAGCCCCTCTGCCATGTAAGGTAACATATTCAGATGTTGGGGGCCAGGGGGGATTAGGGCATCTCTGGAGGGCCATTACTCCGCTTACCACATGGAATGGCATCTAAGAATAAAGATGCACCAAACTACATGCAAGCAGATTGTTTTAGAAGGGAGAAATCTCAGTGTGGCATTTGCTTTCCCATTAGTTTTAATTTTCTTGGTTGAGTCTACAGTAGCATCTTGGTAAACATGCTGACTCCTTTGATTATGTTTATATATAGCATTTCTAAAGTGTAACACAGATTCCACTTTCTGTTTTATGAGCAGTTTTCCCCAAAAGGACAGTTTGTCAGTGTAACAGGAATGGGCATAGAGTTAAGTCTTAGGTTCTTGTTTTCTATCTTGGTATGGAAAGAAGATTCTATTTAGCTGACTATTCCCTGCTTTCTTGGATGTATCCAGGTTTACTTTACTTTTGTTTTTTTTTTGAGTTGGAGTCTCACTCTGTTGCCCAGGCTGGAGTGCAGTGACACGCTGCTCACTGCCATCGCAGCCTCGACCTGCTGGGCTCAGGTGATCCTTCTGTCTCAGCCTTCCAAGTAGCTGGAACTACAGGCATGCACCACCATGCCTGGCTAATTTTTTTTTAATTTATTGTAGAGATGAGGTCTCGTCGAGTTGCCCAGGCTGGTCTCAAACCCATGGGCTCAGGCAGTTCTCTCACCTTGGCCTCCCAAGGTGCTGGGATTATAGGCAGGAGCCACCACACCCAGTCTTTTTTTTTTTTTTTTTTTTTTAAGATATGAGTAGAACGAGATGATCATTTTTTAAAATTTCTTAACTGCTACTATATCTGATTTCACTCAGTAAAGTTCTTTCAAAAATCTCATTTGTACCATATAATGATTTTCTTATTTTAAAGAATGATCTGGAAAAATTTTCAAAAGGTATTGGCAGGTTTACAAGAGAAGATCCCACATTTAAAGTACATTTTGACAACGAGAGCAAAGAGACAATTGTCTCTGGAATGGGAGAACTACACTTGGAAATCTATGCTCAGGTAATGAACAATAAGCAAGTGAAATTGAATTCAGTATGTTATTGTCTGTGTTTTGTTAAAAATCAATAATTCTCAATCTAATGCCTGTAATCCAACAATGGCTCTTCACACTTTACTCTGTTTGTATCCAGATGTAGTACACAGCTTCTAACACTCCATGTTACAGAATAGTTATTTTTGATCTCTACATCTTTTTGTTTGTAAAATCAAGGCTTGGGGGATTTGCAATAAGACCATCCATCTATCTCAAAGTCCTAGATAATTGGGTCAAGTTAACGTGGTCCCAGCTTCAGGGAGACAACCTGCAGTTGTACCTACTCTCAGGCCACTTCTTCTCAAGTCTATTATTGATGATCATTATAATATAGATAAAAGAAGGGGTGGGAAGCTATACTTTCCCAGGAAAGGTGTTGCATATATATGAATGAAAATCAAAGATAATTGAGTAGAAATTGTGGTGGAGCCTATCTTTGAAGTTGAGAAGGAGAATCTTGACAAAATTTTATATATTATCCAGGGAATATGTAGTAATATGGAACAATGGTGATGTTTTAGTGGGCAGATTAATTGTAAGTAAATATAAATTAGTATAACTTAAAATTCATTTGTATAAAATCTCTAAAAGTGGTTTGTATTGTTGAAGTATCATGTGTCTGATCCTTGTAAGACACTGAAACAAGTTAAGATTTATTATTTGTTATTGATTATATTTAACCCTTTGTACTCTGATGTCCCCTCTCAGAGGACATAAAGAAATTGCTGGTGATTATACAGGACAAACTTATGCAAGTGCAGATTTTTCAAAAATGTATGTTTTCTTAAAGTTTTCCATTCAAATTGCATGAAAAAGCAAATAAAGAGATGGAATATATTCTGAGATATGGTCTATCAGTGAGAAGTGGTTTTTAGGAATCACAAGTACATCTTCCATATCTTCTTGAAACAACAGATTAGACAATAAATTACATATTGTGAATGTGGGAGAAAGAAAACGAGATTGCATTGTCTGCGTGACTAGAAAAACAACAGGTGAAAGACATCAAACAAATTACTATTGCACAGCATATATCAATGAAGCTGTAGTGCATGTTAGTGATTGTCTCACAGGTAACAACACGTTAGATAAATATAAGATACAAAATTTTTATTGTTTTGCCATAAATATATTTCTCAATGTGCAAAATTTTATTATAAACCAAATATCATTACAGTGAAACAATTAGTTCCAACACTATACTATTTAATATGAAGTAGTTCATTTTTTACTATTTCATAAAAAAGTACATTCAAGTTGCTGATAGATGATCTACAAGGTGTCCCTGAGTGCAAAGGGTTAAATGAATGCTACTAAGGTGTTTAAGATGCTAAGGTTTCTTTCTTTCGGTTGATTTTTAAAATTTAAATATACCAAAAAATAATCTCCACTCTTTTTAGAGGATGGAAAGAGAATATGGCTGTCCTTGTATCACAGGAAAGCCAAAAGTTGCCTTTCGAGAGACCATTACTGCCCCCGTCCCGTAAGTATGCAACATAATTAAACATTATGAGACTGAAATAGAAGATTTTTATTATGGGATATACATAGCACTATTACTATTATAAAGATTTTTAATGTAGTGACACTTAGTATATTGGAATCTATAGAGTTCTATATTGTAATCAAGATATGTATACAGAGTGACACTTTGGGACTTGTTTGGTTCCTTAAACTAGATACCAGTGAAAACTGGCATACACATGTTTGGTAGGCATATTTACACTTCATCTCATTGTTAGGGAATTTGTTTATTCCAGTTGCACTTCTTTTGGCAAACGGCTATTATGTTTTACTTTAATACCATATTGTGGATGCCAGAGAACTTGCATTTGCCAGGGAATAATCTCCTGCAAGTGAAGAAAATGAATGCTATTATAAAATTCAGAAAGCAATTAAGAAAACATGATTGGATTTATTTTTTGTTGGAGACAAAGCATCTTCATAAAGAAAAGCACAAAACAAACTAAACGACTATAAGTATCATATATTTCAGCCTGATGCCTGAGATTACATGAATTCTGATTTAGAGTCAAAACTACTAAAGCATAATGTGGCTATAAAAGAAGTCTTAGTTTTCAAAGTGGCATCAAATAAAGGTAATATCTTACCTGAGATGCTACATCATGAAGTAGAATGGTGTAGTCTAATTCAATAAAGTCATCATTTCTTTGCTATGACAAAAAAAGAAAAAACTTGGTGCTTAAAACTTAATATCATTGGTAAAAATGACACTTTAATTTTAAAAACCATCTTTGATTAGTAGATGATTATAATACCTCCATTTAGGAAGAAAATAAAAATTGAATATCATAATTTATTTTAATTTAACTCGACAGGAAAACTATTCTCTTACACTGAAAGTAAATGTTCTTCCAAGCTGCACTTTAAAATCATGATTTTATATTTGTTACTCCAAAAATCGCTTGCCCTTCTTTAGCAAGTTGTGGTGACTACTTAAGAACATTACAATGTATAGCTTGTTATTTAAGAACCCTTAATGTTTCCATTGTTCAGAAAAGCATCATGTAAGGAATAAACTATAGCAGTGGTTGTTTACGTTGAAGGAAACCAACTTTATGATAGAAATGATCTCTTAGAAATCTGAAAATAATAAAATGTAGTGAATGTAGTTATCTGCTTTGGTAATTAAAACTTTGGCCTATACTGTTTGTTGCTTTGGGAATAAAAAGTATACCATCAGCTACACTGAAATGTTGCATCTGCATAGTTTAATATCATCATTATCAAATATATGCTATTCTTACACAAGGTTTATAATCAGCATGTTGAGATGTGCCCTGAATGCCAAAGGGCAGCATAAACTCCTGTGGCTCCTTTGGTTAATAGTGATTATAAATATGACCCTAAGCTCAAATTAAAATGTACTATTCTTTCTTTATAGTATCTTGAAATAATCTTTTCTTTGACTATACTAACAAAGAATGTACTTTAAAGAAAACGTAAAAATCAGTAAAGGTTCTTACGTGCTGGATTGTAAGAGGTAAAGATATGTAACATATGGCCTGAAACAGTGGTTATCCCTTTCTGTTGAGGTTTCCATTAATGCTTTAAAGTCACAATACGGTGAAGGGTTAGAGAAGTTTTTTGTTTGTTTCCATAAAATTACTGGCACTGTCTTATACATATTTTGGTAAAAACATGGCTTGAAAAATCATGATTATGATTTTATGATCTCCGTTCCTGGACTCTATTATTTGAGGCCTTTGGACCCCTATAAGAATGTTTTAACTGGCTGAGCTTGGTGGCTCAGCCTGTAATCCTAGCACTTTGGGAGTCTGAGGCTAGTGGATTGCCTGAGCCTGTGGGTTCGAGACCAACCCGGGCAACTTGCGAGACCTCGTCTCGACAGTAAATCAAAAATTAGCCAGGTGTGGTAGCACAAGCCTGTAGTTCCAGCTACTTGGAAGGCTGAGGTGGAAGGCTAAGGTGGGAGGATTGCCAGAGCCCAGCAGGTTGATGCTGGGATGGCTGTGAGCATGCCAAAAACCTAACAAACATTACAACAACATATAGAGAAACAGCCTTTTTTCTAATAATGAATTATCATCACATCAACCTTGGTTACAACATTCTTTTTTTTTTTTTTACTTTGGCTGCTAAGGTACTCAGATTTGATTCAGTGCTCATATGTATGTCTTATTTCAGATTCCTGATAAAAGTATTTCTTTTTTTCCTAAGATTTTCTTTTTCTTAACTTCACTTTTTTTTTTTTTGAGTTGGAGTCTCACTCTGAGTATTGTCATTGAGCATCCTTGTTCTCTAGTGCCCACAGGTGTCCAATAAATGGTTGCAAAAGCCTGTGGAGAAAAGGTACTCCGATTGCCTTGCAGTTTGTTACCAAGAAGCTGAAATAAGTCAGCTGGAAATCCTTTCTCTCCTGGAGCTGTCTAAAGCTGTTTGTTGTGGTTTCTTTGCTGTCTATTTCTCTTGACTTCCAGTAGATACCAGTTGCTTTTTTTAAAAACTTTATTAGTTATTATCTCTTTAAGGTCTAGAAAAATGCAATTCTAAATAGTCATCATATCCATCTTAAGAAAACAGGCTAGTGACAAGATATGAGGTTGTAAATGATGACTAAATGATTTATAAAAAAAACCAAAACAACTACAAGTTGAGTAATGAGTAGTGGAACTACTTCAGAGGCAATATAGCAAGCTTCATGAAGACTGAAATGCCATTTTTTTTCCAGGCATGATGATAGCAATTTGAACACAAAACTTAGGTAGGTGAAGGAAATAATCCATATTAAACTAAGCACAAAAAAATGAATGCCAGATTATAACTCAAGACTTCACACTCTTGAAAGTGTGGCTTTGCTGGTAACTTCCATAAAATGTGGCCCTGAAGATCTCTGTATAGCTGATTAATGATAGGGGGAGTCATTACAAATACAATTGTCCCTTAGTATCCATGAGGGACTGGTTCCAGGTTCTCCCTCAGATGCCAAAATCCATGGATGCTCAAGTCCCTGACATAAGATGGTGTAGTATTTGCATATAACCTACACACATCTTCTCATATATTTTAAGTAATCTCTGGATTACTTATAATGCCTAATACAATGTAAATGGTATGTAAATAGTCATTATACTACATTGTTTAAAGAATGATGACAAGGTAAAAAGTCTGTACCTGTTCAGTACAGACACAACCATCCATATATTTTTCCTCCTGAATATTTTTGATCCATGGTTGGTTGAATCCATGGTTGTGGAACCCATGGATAGAGAGGCCTGGCTATACGTAGTGTACCTGGGATCTGTCTTGCTTCTGTTAGTGAAACTCTCCAAACCTTTTTGCTCTAAAACAGGGTTTGAGTAAAACATTCTAGTTAAATCTGACTTGACTTACATGAAAGGTTAAGAACTGTCATTACCATAATGCTATTTGAAAGTGCAGTCTAGATACTACTTATTAATAGCAAACATTTCATTGGAATCCTTGGCTTTGCCATGCCATTGTTCCTTGTCAGCATGTACCCAGGGAATGCAACTAACCCAGCATACTTATTGGGAAGGTACGTTTGAGGTAAGTGAGGCCTGTGGTCTGCATCTCTTAGCCAAATGTAGTAGCTTTTGGACCAATTGCTCTTGCTTTGAGCTCTTCCTACAACTCTTCTCCTCTAATCTTGATTGTAACTGACCTCTCCTTCAAAATGCCAGGTTCACTATTTTTAATACAAAATGACTTTAGGGACATGCTTATCTAGTTTCGAATTATAACACTTTCAATAAATATTAGCTCCATTAATAGTATATTTTATATAAATTACTTACCACTTGCTTGACTGTTTGAATTTTTACCATTTTATACCAGGTGTTTTCAGTAGAATTCTGCCATATTATATAGCCACAGGCAACCCAGGCTAAATGTCGAACTGGCTTCATTTCTGGAGATACATTTCCAAAACTGTCTGGTGGGGGGAAAATTTATATGATAAATGTACTGACAGAACATCTAAATTCTAAGTCATGTCTTAGTTTCCTTCAAATGTTTGCAGAAACTAATTAAGCCATGGATCTATAAAGTTCTGAGGCCTCTTTATTTTTTAGATTAGACTGGAAATTAATATTTTTGTAAGAGCCAGTATATTTCCAACATGGCATCTAATAATTTTGAACATAGATCATTGAGATTGACTTTAAAGTTGGAAAAAAATTTTTCATGCTTTATTTGTATACCTGGAATATTTTGTGCATCTAGTGGTTTCTTCATGGACTTGAGTCTTTGGTAAAATGTATTGTCTTCTTCATCTGGGTTCTTCCCAATTTCGCCTTCAAATGTGAAGTTGACTTCTGGTGCAGTTTCTTGTCCCATTGGAGGGTAAAGTACTTCAGCAGTGCAGTTCACTGTAACTTGCTGTTTGAAACATTTTGCAAAAGATCCTTACATATCAAAGGCTATCCGTTTTGATTATCATTCTTTGAGATATAATTTCTAGTATGAGCCCCTAATGGTGTTGTGTTAGGCTTGACTTTAAAGTCCCTGTTTTCAGAGGTATCTAATCAGGCCTGGTCTATTAATTTTCTAGGTATCGCATGCATATCCTAAAATAGATAACTTACCTTGAGTATCCTGTAATAGATAACGTACCTTATAATTTATATGGTCTTATGATCTTGTGAATTCTAAGTTTAAAACTGTGAGTATATTTCAGCATTAAGGGGGTGTCCATTTGCACGGCCACATTTTAGGCCATCTTTATATACTGACTCAAGACTCTTGCTCACTGCTCCTGAAATAACAGAAATTTTCTCAAACACAAATACAGCAGTCTGTATCTAGGTGTAAAATTAGAAGATTATTGGGTTTATACTTTGTAAAGATGGCTGTCTAGCAGCTTAAATAAATGCTTTTAATGAATCTCCTTACGTTAGCCTATATCTCTTATAAATTATGCTCTACAAAAGAGAAAGCTTTTTAAAATATCTGGACGGCTATGGTACAGATTGCAGTTCC